ATGAGATTATCTTGTATATTCAGTTTTGAGCTCGTAGGTCGAATGATTCCTGGAATTAAACACGCAGCCCGCCTTTGAAATTGAAAACAGAGAAAGCTTTTTCAAATAGATCTTCTTCCAATCATACTCTGGCTTGTACTCAGTTGACTCCATCGAAGTCGTAGTCGAAGTCGTCTTTCGTAATTGAAGTTCAGACAATTAATTCATCACAGAATTCGCTTCCAAACTCAACAAAATAGCGAAGAACTAGGTGTTAAAAGAAAAAGAAAAAGGACGGTTACTCATCTTACTAGATAAATTGAGTATTTAAAACTGATTTAATCGAGCGAAATATTTAGAGTCTTTGAGAATGTCAACAACCATAAGGAGGGCACAGGAAGACCAATCTTCGAAAAGTGCAACAAGTATCCACGAGTTCGCCAAAGGGCGTTTGATTTATATGCTAAAGTGAAGGCATTTAACTCATGAAATAATAACTCGTAATAGTCAAATAGGCCCTTTGAATGTGACGTTAAAGCAGCTCGATCTGGGGGACAAAACAAAAGAATTCCAATCTCCTGAGTATTGGAACCTATTATTTTGTCCCCCAGATTGAGCTGCATTCCAAAGTACTGCAAGGGGTCTATAGACAACAATGGAATTAGGGTCTACCAATGCGCATTAGTCTAATAGAGTGCATGCCATATATCCATGAAAAATTTTGTAAGAATTTGCACAAATTTGAACAAATTAGTAAGTTCAGTAGACCGTTTTCTCAAGGTTGCGAGCGCATCCAACTTGACGGGCCACAAATTTAAAAAACGCGAATTCAGTAAAATTGAGAAGACAGTTTTATATTTAAAGAGGAGAATAATCATTTAGTTTTTGAATCCTTATCGAAAAAAAAATCATAGAAATGTATGATAATTCTCATCATAAAGCGCCTGTTCTGGTATCGTGGCCCGTCAAGTTCCTTAAATTTGGATGCGCACGCAACCTTGAGAAAACAGTCTACTTGTACAGTTTTGTTGCTTGATTTTTTCTTGGATATATGGTACACACTCTATCTATTTAACGAGTTAAGTGGCTTCACTCTAAAAGGCACAGTAGATATCATTTATTTATATATTTTATTTTATTCCACAGGACACCCACCACGAACAATACGATCCACGTCATCTCACAAGTCACCACTCAGTCCCACTTCTCCATCGTTCAGGCGACAATCAGCCCCAAAACGCGTAGTTGACGTTGGTGTTAATACGTCACTTCCGGGATGTTTGAATGGTCGTTCTCCAGAGTTGCCAAGTAACCCAGTCACGTGGTCTGTCGATGACGTGATTACATACGTACGTTCTACTGACTGCAGTCACTACGCGCCGATCTTCCAGGAAGAGGTAAGAGGTTGTGTTACTATTTTCCCCAGTAGACCGATGCAGTTCTGCTTGATCGTAGTGTCTGTTTTGTAAACCGCAAGTGCATTTCAAAATGGACCACGTGATGCTAATGTTGTATCACGTGGACCGAAGTGCATTCGGGTTTTCATTACGTGGTGTAAAAAACTTGTCCACGTGGTAATCGAATACCAAAGTTATCTTTTGTCTTTGCATATTAACAGGAAATCGATGGCCAGGCGTTGCTGATGTTATCACGTGACGCCCTCATGCAGTTCACCCCAATGAAGCTCGGCCCGACGCTCAAGATGTGCAGCTACATCTCACAGTTGAAGTTAAGGGCCAAGTGATTTGGAAGCAAATATATAAAGAATAGGTTTTCTTAGGTCAGTAATACTATATCCAGAGGTTAAGAAGGTAACTGGGTCGAGCTGGTATTGCAGTGCATTGTGGGGCTCTTTCAGGGGACATGTTTCTAAGATGGCGTCTATTCCGTCCCACAATGCACTGCAATGCCAAGGTCAGTGATAATATATTCAGAGATTGAGAAAAAAACTGGGTCGACTGTTTTTGGAAACAATTCCAATATGGCGACTCTTTTCCCTCTATAACAGTCCCACAATGCAATGTAATGCCAACTGGACAAAGTTTTTTTTTTGATATCGTAATTGCTAACAATACCAAATAGGGCTTTCCAAAGATAAAGCCGTGCAATAGATATTAAACTAATACACTTTAGTAAACCCTAATTCCGATCCATTGTTTTCTTTTGTGTCTATTTGACTTTTACACGTTGAATAGTTGAACCAATTTATCAGTTTTCCACAATCAGAGTTTTAGATTCTAAGATATTCCTAGTTAAGTTGTTAAGCTTGTGGGACATAGCAACGGTAACTAAGGGGAATCGAAACCATGAATTAAAAGTAGTGAAATTTAATGTATGACGTCATGGCCGCCATGTTGAAAAGAATTTTCCCTGCTCGGTTTCTTATGTTTCTGTCATCCAACATGGCGGCTGTATTGAAGAAAAAGTGAAACTTAATTTTCAAACAAACATTTATCAAGTACTCAGTCTAGCTAAGAGTTCGTAGAAGATAAAAATGATAATAATTTGAATATAAAGTCTCTATTAAGGAAGGTTTAGACGGTACGAATTTCGCCTACAACTATCGTATACAACACGCTGGCGCCATCCTACAACTCGAGTCGCAGCGCGTAAATCAAGCCTACAACTCGCCTACGATAGACGCGAGCGTGTTGCATACGATAGTTGTAGGCAAAAATCGTACCGTCTAAACCGGSCTTTAGAGACCATTTTACTTTGGGCGTTTTCCCATTTCAAACGTCGTCAAGGGTTTGTTTGTCACAGCTTTGTACGTATTAATGTATACACTCAATTGCAAAGTCACTGTCAAGTCAAAAACATAGAACATAGAAGCTGAGACCAATATGGAACATGGAAAGTACGTTTATTAGATGTATCTAGTGATACAACTCGTGGGATGTTCATCGATTGTTGCACTGACAGAAAGGATGGAGGCTTTTAACACCTCTTTCATATCAACTGTGTATCTCATATGAATACATCAGAAGATAATTATGAATACCTTTCGTTCTCCGCTTCTATGTTTTATGTTTTTAACCCAACAATGATTTTGCAATAGAAGCTTTGCACTACGCGTGCTGGCGCCCATATTACAGCTTGGGCTGCCTGTGGTTAGATGGCAGAACAATAAAATCCCTTTGCTCTTGGAAATTGAATTATTACCCATGTAAAACGATTGGATTGTTCCTGCTATCCAACATGGATGCCGTCACGTGATGTTGCAAAGCTTCTATCGAGTATATTTAATAGCGAGGTGTATTAGACAAAGAAGCTTTACTCGAGAGTCGACTAATGGTCGGAAATGGAAAACTTCACTCCAAAGTTACCACTCTTTTCATTGCTAAGCGCTGATCGAGACAACAATTACAACAGGGAAATTGGGCAATGCATTTCCGTCAATCAAATAAATTGACGGTTACCTTTATAATCTCTGATTGGCGGCAGTGTACTGCCCTATTCAGCCCCTGTTTTCTCGGTCAGCGTGTAGCAGTGAAAAGAGTGGTAAAGGATCTGTTACCAATTGTGTTGTAAACTAGAAATATTTTGATCGTCAGTATTTTACTCTTCCTCGCGACAATTTTTGTATTTTGGTAAAGAATTTTATATTCAATTAATAAAACAAATTTTGAAAAGAAGGGGCTTGTTGATCTGTGAGTTAGCCATGCCCTAACTTAGGTAGTGCCAGAGGTTGTTCCAGGGTTGGTTTGATCTGCGAGTTAGCTGTGCCCTGACTTAGATCAGCACAGAGGTTGTTCCAGGTTTTGATCTGTGAGTTAGCCATGCCCTGACTTAGATCAGCCCAGAGGTTGTTTCAGGGTTCAATCTGTGTTAGCCATGCTTTGACTTAGATTACACCAGAGGTTGTATCAGGGTTTGATCTGTGAGTTAGCCGTGCCCTGACTTAGATCAGCCCAGAGGTTGTTTCAGGGTTCTATCTGTGAGTTAGTCATGCTTTGACTTAGATTACACCAGAGGTTGTATCAGGGTTTGATCTGTGAGTTAGCTGTACCCCGACTTAGATCAGCCCAGAGGTTGTTTCAGGGTTCAATCTGTGTTAGCCATGCTTTGACTTAGATTACACCAGAGGTTGTTTCAGGGTTTGATCTGTTAGTTAGCTGTACCCCGACTTAGTTCAGTCCTGAGGTTGTTTCAGAGTTCTATCTGTGAGTTAGCCATGCCCTGACTTAGTTCAGTCCTGAGGTTGTTTCAGGGTTCGATATTTGATGAGTTAGCGGTGTCCCGATTAATTCATCCCAGAGGTACAGTACTTCCAGGGTTGGATTTGTGACTGAGTTAGCAATGCCCTGACGAGGCGAATTATTCCCCAAAACGAACGCGATAACTTTAAAGAAAATTCTCCATTAATGCTGAAGTTCTTTTACGTCTTCGCGATTTTATCAACATAACATTTTCTGGCATCAGCACCGACGCCACATCTTTCATCACACAACGTTAACTGTAAGGTAAAGTAAAACGACAAAGATTTAAGGCGCATTTACACCGAGCAATTTTCTCTAGAGCTTGTCTCGCAAAGAGCATTGCAGCGTGTAACCTACAACGCAGTTTGAAAAAAATGTCGCGATATAAGTTGCAGCAATCATGATCATTGCAAAGACCTTGCGAAAGGTTTTGGCAACGATTGCGTCTCCGTTGCACCGTGTAATATCGCCTCATATAGTTTTTTGAATTCTTCCAAATTATCATGAAACTCGTGCATCAATTTTTCCAGGTTCTGAACATATTTCAAATATACTAAAAAAATTGATAAAGCAAAAGTTTTTTTTATCCATTCGACCTTTCCCTTTGAGAATACGTTACAATTTTTCTTTCAGTATATATGTATCAAAATAATATATTTTTGATCAAAATTGGTTTATAATTCAATGACATAGGATGACGATCAGATATATTTCCTAATAGTCCCATAGTTCCCGTAGTTTCAGGCGTATTAGATATTAAATATTATGAGAAAATGTTCGGTGTAATCTTTTTTCGTCATCCTTAATCATCAAAACTCAAAACTCAGACATCAAAAATCGTTAAAAAATCAAATCATAAAAATACGATAAATTTATAAATAAAATGAGTTCTAATGTTTGTTTAGACGACGCCTTGGTCAATCATAGCATCAGCAACCTTCACAAACCCACCAATATTGGCTCCTCTAACGTAATCGACGTATCCATCGGGTTTCGACCCGTACTTCAAGCATGTTGCGTGTATTTCCTTCATAATATTGCTTAGCTTGCTATCCACTTCCTCTCGGGTCCAGGTCTCACGCCCGCTATTCTGGCTCATCTCCAGTCCCGACACAGCCACACCACCAGCATTGGAGGCTTTGCCTGGTGCGTAAAGCACGCGCGCATCCTGGAACACTTTAATGGCTGCTGGCTCCGTTGGCATGTTAGCGCCTTCACCAACCAAAGTACATCCGTTCTTGACAAGCATCTCGGCATCCGCTTTGTTGATTTCGTTGTGAGTTGCGCATGGTAACGCTACGTCACACTTAATAAACCACGGGCGTTTCTCCTCGTGGTACTCGACGTTATACTTCGCAGCATACTCCTTTATGCGACCACGTTGGACGTTTTTCAGCTCCATGACGTATGCCAGCTTTGCCTTGTCGATGCCGTTGGGGTCGTATATTACTCCATTAGAGTCTGAAAGGGAGACTACTTTCGCGCCAAATTCTATCGCTTTTTGTGCAGCATACTGCGCGACGTTGCCTGACCCAGATACAGTTATAATCTTGCCTTTGAGAGATTGACCCTTGTTGGCAAGCATTTCGTTTACAAAGTACAGCAATCCATAACCAGTTGCTTCAGGTCGAATCAGGCTACCACCCCAAGCAATGCCTTTTCCCGTGAGAACACCAGTGAACTCGTTACGAAGTCGTTTATATTGACCAAACAGATAGCCGATCTCGCGGCCGCCGACTCCAATGTCCCCAGCTGGGACATCCGTGTTTGGGCCGATGTATCGTTGCAGCTCAGACATGAATGACTGGCAGAAACTCATCACTTCGCTGTCAGACTTTCCTTTAGGGTCAAAGTTAGAACCACCTTTGCCTCCACCCATTGACAGAGTTGTTAAGCTGTTCTTCAACACCTGTTCAAAACCAAGGAACTTCAAGATACTGAGATTGACCGTTGGATGGAATCGAAGACCACCCTTGTATGGACCAATGGCTGAATTAAATTCTACCCTGTACCCTCTGTTGACATGAACCACACCCTTGTCATCTCTCCATGGGACCCTGAACATGATGATTCTCTCAGGCTCTACTAGACGCTCTAAGATGCCACCCTTGAGGTACTTTGGATTGGCTGCCAGGAAGTCCCATAGTGCTATAACGACTTCTTCTACAGCCTGGTAGAATTCGCTTTCACCTGGGTTATTTTTTTGGACGTGCTGAAGGAATTCTTCAGGCGTTTGGCAGTTTGCCTAAAAGATGTAGAACAATGTGAGATGAAAATACTGTTAGGATTCTCTACAGAGCGTTTTCACGTGTTTTCGCAGCGGCCATGTTAGTGTACCAAAATAATACATTTTCTATCCTCTGGGAATTGAACTCTATTTTTAGGCAAAAACTGTGCAGAATGTTTCTATTGTTGCAGGTACACTAATAGGTACACCAATATGGCTGCCTTGTCATGGGAGTGAAAATTCTCTATTGGAGTGGTCAATATATCTATTCAGCCCGGATTAGATACAGGTTTATTCAAGGG